TGAGTCACAGTAGAGAATCTTAAAGCCTATTTCCACATACAAAAAAAGCTGTATCTATTTCCACACAAATGTATTATATATAATATTCATCTATTTCCACATATATTTTACTTGAAAAATAAACAGGAAGCCGATTCAGTTGACATTATATGCTAGCTAACAAAACTTTCTTCTCAGGAGACCAGCCAGTCTTCACCACAGTGGCAAGAGAATAACAGAACACAGAAAAGCATATGCAGAACTAGAGGCAGGCTGAAGTTGGTATACATTCTTAGCCAAAGATTAGGACAGTTCTTCGTAACAATGTGCAATCAGTACTTAAAAGGACAATTCAGTAAACTTAACTGGATATTTGTTTTTTACTGTCTTATCTCAATCCAATCCCTGGTTAAAAAGACAAAAAACCACTAGCTGTTTCTTCAGTTTATTTAACATTTGACACATACAGCCTCAGTGTGTGAGTGTGCGCATGTGTACAGTCTTGGACTTTAAAACTAGATCCCCCTGTCAGAGAAATGTACTCACTTTCAACTTTGCCCATAGAAAAGTTTAGACTGACCAAAAGAAGCAGTAGCCAAAATTCATACTATATGCAGAAAATAGCTAATTTACTAATTTTAAAAGGTTACATGCAGTGCTACAAGATGGAGCACCATGAAGTAACCTTAGGTGACCTGCAAGGCTGCATAATTTAGACAGTATTTTTTAACTTTGTATTTCTTGATTTTAGTAGTTCAGTATTAAGTATACACTAGAAAATAGATAAGCAAATGGAAAAAATATAAACCACTCATAATTCCACTACTAATATATTGGTGTACAGTGCCAGTTTTTTCTCAATGTACATTTTATGTGATTAAAGAGTATATACAGACCTGAACTAAAGAATAACTTGAATTCTACTTTTTCAGTAGTTAACTAAATTCCTTTTCTGTAGGTAATGTGCAATATCAGCAAATAAGAGCAAAAATTAAAGCATGAAATCTAAACAAAAATTAAATTACCATTAAATTATTACATTTCATTTAGGTTAGGTTTTTCAGCTTGAAAATAACAGAATACTTTTTAAATTATTTAAAGGAGGCACTACAAACTCAAATGCCTACAAAGGCCGCATCAGTAACATAAATGAGTGAAGCAGGCCTAGTATAAGAAAAAAAAGGAGTGGTGAGAGCTTCAATGAACTGCAGAATGCACAGACCCTCTACAGACATTCAAGTTCAAATGATTCTAAAACATTTATGTAAGCCTCAAAACATCACGCCACAAGGCTTAAACCTAGAAACATATTTATAAGATAACAAGCTCATACAGCCTAAATCCTACTGAGAAAGTAGTTTAACTGCCAGGTGCAGTAGCTCATGCCTGAAATCCTGGCACTCTGGGAGGCTGAGGCCGGAGGATCATTTCGGGCCAGGAGTTCAGGATCAGCCTGAGCAACAGCAAGACCCCATCTCTACTAAAAATAGAAAAAATAAGCCAGGCGTGGTGGCACACGCCTGTAGTCCCAGCTACTCAGGAGGCTGAGGCAGGAGGATCACTTGAACCCAGGAGCTGGATGTTGCAGTGAGCTATGATGACACCACTGCACTCTAGCAGGAGCGACAGAGTGAGACTCTGCCTCAAAAAAAAGAAAAAGAAAAAGAAAGTAGTTTAACTGACCTCTAATAAAATAAAATGAAACAAAGTCTGAAACATATGGAATAGATGGACTCAGGGTCAAGAAATAAAAGAAATATTATCAGGTTGCCAATAAATAGGAAATCATTAGAGATTATAATTCATAACAGGC